AAAATATTATCCAAATTAATTATTGAGGTAAAAAAAATTGTGAATAAAACAAAAAAATAAATAGTAACTGCCTTTAGCAAGGGCAACGGGTGGAAACACAAAATTCGGATTTTGCAAGGGCAACTACTATTCACGTGAATAGTAGCTGCCCTAGCTCCCCCCCTTGCCATGGCTAAGGGCAAATGGGTGGAGTTGCTCTTAATGAGGTCACATTTATTGCATCATTGGTTTGTTTCTTTTTTAAGCCCCCCAGAGCACTTCCAGTAGTTTGCCCCTTGCAGCTACTATTCACGTGAATAGTAGATGTCCTTGCAAAAAACAATGTGTGTTTCCAGTAGTTGCTCTTTGCCATGACAAATACTATTCATTTTTTTGTTTTTTTTCATTGGGTACCTTACGTGTCAATACTATTAATATCTCATAATCGGATAAAATTTTTGGATAAGATTTTCGGTTTCAAATTTCAGATAAAATAAAGAATTTTTTTCTTTATTCACTAAAAGAAAATCATTACAACTAATAAAATAAAATACATGAATTACAACTAATTTTTTAAACAAAACATTAAAATACAATGAACTGAAAGGCAAACAAACTAACTTAATGGTTTTGATCATTTAACCAATCCGTGTTGTTAGGTCCATTGTCACGTAAAAGTTTTCGTCTCATAACATCCCTTCGTTCTATCTTCCAAAATTGTTTTGTTCCATAGGACATATGACTTGTATCCATGGTCATAGTTTCTCGATCCTTTTTTTCAATATTTTCTTAGCATACATACTCCTTTTCTTTGCATTTATACTCCATTTCTTTTGCATATTCTAGTTGGATTGCCCTATCGCTTTCTTCGATTTTCATGTCTATTTCAAGTCTCATGGCGTTTTACCTTGAAATTTCCTCCAAAAATTTAGATGCATTAGTAGAATTACTCCCTCTCTTCGCCTTTGCCTCCTTCCTCCTAATAGGTCTCGGCTCATTTTCGATGGATGAGTCTTGACTCATCGGGGAATCCATAGGCGAATCCGATGCCCGTGAATCATAGAGTGGCGTCTCGTTCAACACAACCGTTGGACTCGTTGGAATAATTCTGAATCTCTTACAATTCTTCACCGCCTCCCAACATTTGAAAGTTTTTTTGCCTTGCCCAATAGCACCATACCACATTTATACTTGCATAATCTATATAAAAAATAAAAAATGGAAATGCAAGAAACTTTAAAAAATATTGGCAATGCAAGAAATTTTAACAATTTATTGAAAATGGAAGAAATATTAAAAAATATATATATATTTTGCAAGAAATATTTAAATAAATATTGAAAATACAAGAAATATGAACAAAATATAGAAAATGCAAGAAACATTTAAATAAAAATTAATATGACATTAAAATTAACAAAACGAAAATTACAAATAATTTACCTCATTGCTATGATTTTTCCCGCTTTTATAGTTGTCCATCGCTTTTGTCAAGGCATCTCTCCATTTCACCAACTCTTTATTGAGAATTTTCCACCTACTAGAATCACAAGAAATGAAGGTCCACACTTATTAATCAAGCATTGATTAGGAATGGATGGTAACATTTGGTATAGTTGGTAGAGAACGCTTCCTATGTGTCACAGTAAATGCAAGGTTTGGCTCATGCTCAACTCTAATGTCCTTAAAAGGCCTACTATGGATAAACAAAGAAGTCCAGCCAGGTCACCTTTGGTCTAAAGGCATCCGATAAATCAGGCTGATCATAGGCGACCATTATCATCACAACAATAATGGACCAAAGAACACGCCTATCAAACCCATTAATCATCCCGCGTCACAAATCAAACGGATTATTGAATTGACGTGTCAAATAACGAGTATTGACAGGCTCAATAAATGCACGACGTGTCTCCCACCATTACCAAAAAAGTAAATTTAGGTTTTAGCAAAATAAAAAATAAAAAAAATCACTTTTTGAAAAAGCCAAAACTTTTTCAAAAAAGACAGAAAAATCTCTCAACTTTCAAATCAAAGACATGCAAATGTAAATGATTCCTTAGGAAATCCAAAAATAAATAAGGGCAATTTTGTCCATTTTGACTTCTTTTACAAAATTTCTCTCTCCTTTGTGTTTTTTCAAAGTCTCCCTACTAAAAACTAGCCATGAGCCGTGTAAAAGCCAACCACCACCTTGTGGAGAAGGTAACCATTACTAGAGTTAAGAACTCTATTCTGATTCACCTATCTCTAAATCTAACTTAGGCATTAGAGACTCTTAGTTTCACATCACACTAATGCTTTTCATAAGGAACTTATGTTGAAGAATGCATTTTAGTTAAGTTTTAATTGTTTTAAAAGAAATTATTATTTTTCAATAATGCATTTAATGGCTCTAACATACCAAAAATGTACACAATATTAATCATAATTAGATTCCTTAATAGGTGAAACATGTCGTATATTACCTGCGCATGTTTGGCACGTTAGAGACATTATATTCGTTATTGAAAAAGAATAATTTTTTTAAAAAACTAAAATGCATTTTACAACATAAGCTCATTATGAAAACATTATATACAATAAACATTTTTTTTTTAAAAGTCCCATAAGGAATAAATAAAGTAAAATAACTTTATTTTTTAGCTAGTCGATAACGAATTTTGTAGATTAATACAAACACAATATGTTTTTAACCAGTCATTAAATGGGGTCATTTGTTATCAAGACAACTTATTAAGATCGTGCGTATTCATGTCATGCATGTCATCAGATCATTATGATTTTGCCACGTCTCTTGTTTATTTACCAAGATTTTATCATTGATTTGTAAATAAAATTTAAGAAAAAAACAAGCAATAGATGGCTGAAAATGTTTTTTTTATTATAAAAATTAAATTTTATGTTATTATATTTTGGAGTTTCACTAAAACATCCAAAATGGGGGCTGAAATTATAAAAAAAACCCAACGCCCAAAACACTTTATAAACACACCAAAGACCCATCATTACACACACTCAAAACTCATTTATAAACACACCAAAAAAATATACAACTGTTGATTTTGGGGTTAATTTTGGGTGTGTTTCTATGTTTAAATAATATTTGAATTTTTTTATAAATATATGTCTAAAATTGAGTTTATTTATAAATTTGTATTATTATTTTTTACAAGTATTATTGGGGAGGGGAGAATTGAATCCTAACCACTTTGTCCAAACTTTTTAGTCCCGGGCCCGGCCCGATATTTCTTTTCTTTTCAGAAACAGAAAAAGTCCCAGTCCATTTCTCATGGGTTTCTAGTTTCTAAAAGAAAAGAAAAAGCCTTAAAAAATTTTAACCTTCTCTCTCTACCTATCAGACAAATCCAGGTGCTCCGGCCAGAAGACAAAACAGACAACCTCCAGGTACTCTCTCTCTGCTAGGGTTTAAATTTGATATTCAATCAATTTCACTATATATGTCTCTTCCTGGTTTTATTTCGTAATTTTCATGAACTGTTCGCTCCCCTTTCTAAATCCAGTTTACACTTTATTGTTGTAATGAAAAAGCTTTTCATTTACAATAGTTTCTTGCTTCTACATTTATTTTACTATTTTGATTCAAAATTCCTAGCTTCTACTCTGCGTGCTTTCTTGTGATGATTTCCACCACAAAACAAAGAGTTGGGCTTTAGTGATTATGCGAATAAAGTTTTCATTTTTAACTTTTCTCCTTTTTTTATATTAAATTTTCTTTTATGGGTTTGGAGTCATTGCTTCTGCATTTTAGTTTCTTATACTTCTAGCTACTCATAATTTTCTGATTATTTGTTTGTTTGATTTTCAGCACGAACAAAGAACTGGGTTTCATTCTGTTGTCAAGAAACTGTCAGAGCTATGGCCACAAACGAAGGCTTTCAAGGTATTCACAATATTAACCCCTTTTGTTTCTCCTAAGTTTTTGTTTTGTCTTGGTGCTATGTATATGTCGTTCCCTGAGAAAAAAAAAAAGAAATCCTTTTTTTTGGAGCTTCAATATTAGACTGGATCGTGAAGAATAAGTTATAAAAAAATAAAAATAAAAATAAAAATCCTTTTTTCCCTTTTGCTTGGAGAATAAGCTATTTAGTAATTACTCATTTGTTTCTGAGGTCCTTTAATAAAATGGGTTTTTTTTGGGCATTGAAAAATTGAATGATCTTATTTGCCCATACATGGTTGTGTGAGAAATAATGCAGCCAGGATAAATTTTCTCTTTTCTTTCTTTTCTTTGGGGTTTTTATCACCCCATAGTTTATAGGAATTATGTGGAGAAGAGACACAAGGTCATAAGTTGATAGATTCATCAACTGTAGCTAAATTCAAAAGTTTAATTCTCTCATTTGATCTGAAATTTTTCTTTTTAGAAAAAAAGACACCGTCGTTGTTTCGTGTGGATGTGGCGGAAATGTGATTTAAGCTGATTATCGTTTTACTTGTGAGTGCCAAACTGGTGCGGGTAATGTATCAGTGGTTAATATTGGCTACCACAAATAGAAGTCAATAGTTAACATTGGTTTTAGACTTTTAGTTTGGTGAATAGTCGACCTTACTTGGTATCACTGTTTTTTCTTTCTTTTGATTTCTTACCTTTTCCCTTAGGAGTGTGTGTTGTTGGAAGCAAAAGGATGTACTAATTTGGCTTTAGATTTTTCTTTCCCTGGGTGGGGTATTGCTGTGTTATTATCTTAGTCCTTTTCCCCTTTGTTTGATTTCCCTGTATGTGGGTATGATGTGCAAAGGTATGGAAGGATGCGCAAATGTCTGTTTCCAGAATTTTTGCACTCACATAAAAGAATCAAGGTGTTACCATTATTGTGTGTCAAAATCCTTCTCTGCTAGATAGTTTAGAAAAAGAATGAATTAGATGCATGTGGGAAAGTAATAGTACGTCAGCTGGCTATGGAATCATGTTCTTTCCCCTGGAAAGAAGGCTCATACCTATCTAGTTTCATGTCGTATATATGTATCTTTCTCATGGATTTAATAAGCTTGGGTTTATGTATCTTATTTCATATATTTTCTGTCCTATACAAGGTGTTTCAAATTGCTATGTATTCAAGAGCCAGTTACAAGAATATGCACAAAAAGTGGAAATACCTACACCAGTATATGAGACTATAAAAGAAGGTCCTTCTCATGAGCCTTCCTTTAAGTCCACAGTAATAGTTAACAATGTCAGATATGATTCTTTGCTTGGGTTTTCCAATCGTAAGTTAGCAGAGCAGTCAGCTGCCGAAGTTGCTCTCGTGGAGTTAGCTAAGTCTGGTGATATCAATCAATCCATCTCACAACCTATTGTAAGTTGATTTATCCTTCACTGAATTACTGAGAAAAGCTAAATTTGTTATTATTGCTGACTCATTGACATTGCATCTCAGTTTAATCATGGCTAACTTTGATTTGGCTGTTTGTTCTAGCATGAAACTGGTCTGTGCAAAAATCTGCTTCAAGAGTATGCACAGAAGATGAATTATGCTATTCCTTTATATCAGTGCCAAAAGGAAGAAACTCCTGGTAGAGTGCCACTATTTTCATGTACTGTAGAGATCGGGGGAATTCGTTATGTTGGAGCTGCGGCAAAAACGAAAAAAGAAGCTGAGATAAAAGTAGCTAGAACTGCTCTGTTAGCTATCCGGTCAAGTAAATCTGAGTCATCTATGGAACCAGTTGGCAACACTCAGTTAACAGTGCTTCCATCTAAAAAAAGGCGGGCAGAATCAAATACTAAATCTGAAGAGACTGCTAATGTTCCTAAACCAAAGAAAGGTCGATTTAAGAAGAGAAACTTCAAAAAGAAACTCTCAGGAGACATGGTGGGCCAGACTCAAGTTCGAAATGTAGGTGGTAGTGAAATATCAGGAGGGGGAGCTAATCCATCTGTTAAACCAATGGATGCAGAAGTTACACCAAACGCTCATGACTCGATGTCCCATGTTATCCCAAGTGAGAATCGAACATCTGCCTCGGAACCTGGTTCGGTTCCCCAGGTTAATACTTTTAGTGCAAAAAAGGGACAGTCAACAGCTTTGTTTTTCAATCACGGCGACTATGGGACTCTTGATGAGGGAGCATTTCCAATTTCATATGGAAATATAACTCCCTTGGCCAAGGAAGTCAATATGGTGTCCGGAGCAGCGGAGGCGGTTTCACTTGCAAATCATGGCGACGACAATGGGACTCTTGATGTGGAAGCATATCCAATTTCATGTGGAAATATAACTTCTGTGACCAAGGAAGAGAATATGGTGTCTGGAGCAGGGGAGTCGATTTCACTTGCAAACAATTCCAACCTACAGCTTTTCAATCACGGGGACAACAATGGGACTCTTGATGTGGATCCAATTTCATGTGGAAATATAACTTCCGTGGCCGAGGAAGCGAATATGGTGTCCAAAGCAGGGGAGGCGGTTTCACTTGCAAGCAACTCCAGCCTACAGCTTTTCAATCACGGCGACGACAATGGGACTCATGATGTGGGAGCATATCCAATTTCTTGTGGAAATATAACTTCTGTGGCTGAGGAAGCAAATATGGTGTCCGGAGCAGGGGAGGTGGTTTCAGTTGCAGACAACTCCAACCTACAGTTTTTCAATCACGACGACAACGGGACTCTTGATGTGGGAGCAAATCCAATTTCATGTGGAAATATAACTTCCGTGGCCAAGGAAGCGAATATGGTGACCAAAGCAGGGAAGGCGGTTTCACTTGCAAACAGCTCCGACATACATTATTTGGAGGCTTCAAATGTCATGGCTGGTCTGAACCAATCAGGAAATGAATCCAAGCAGGTGTAACATATATGGTAGGAGTATTCCTATAAAAGAAAAGAAAAATGAAATATATGGTAGGAGTAGGACTTATTATTATCTAACAGAAACTGAGGCCTGCAGTTGTTTTGAACAAGGATGTGAGAAAGAGCCTTGACTTGCAGAACAGGGGTTTTAGGTTTGAACCCTCACGGTACCTTGGTAGTGTATGTGTGAGAAATCCCCCCTCCCCTTTGTAGTTTAGATTATGGCATCGGCTTGTATTCACTGAACTGATTTGATTAACTTCCACCAGTTCGTAGAATACCCCATTAATCTTGTGGATGGAAGGCGTGTATGTTGTTGGCGAGGATTTCTTTTGGAATAGTGAATTATGGACGTTGCTAATTATTTTTCTTTTCTTTCTTTTGGGGTTTCATCTATCAGCCTTATATTTATTTCTCTTCCTCCTTACTGTGTGAACAAAGCTGTCTCTGAAAACCAAATGAGTAAAACGAAGAAGGCCAACTTAATTATTTTCTTTTGGTAAAGAAGCCTTTGTTGCCTAATGGGTAGGGTTAGGGATAGGATTAGAACCGTTTTAATGTAATTAAAAAATAAGAAGGCCAAATAATCTTCTTTCAAATTCCCAAAACTCATTTTAGTTAAATGATGAAGGAACGAAAGATGATTTATTTCCTCCATTTCATTGCGACTTTCAAGAAACTATAAGGTGTGAGACATAAGTTTTTCTCATGGTATAATGTGTTACCAATTGAAGTGCTATAATATAAGTGAATGATACATGTATTATAATACAAATATAAACATCGAAGAATTATAAGAAAAGAAGAAAAAAAAACTGATATGACCATTTTGTGATCTAAAACCTCATAGAAAATAAGGAATGTTTAAATAATGTTTGCGAGAAATTTCCGATCAGTGTTTAGTCTTGGGAGGGGATCCGCTGTCCCTATTTTTCATGTCCTTTCGTGTCCTTGTATAATTTGTTGACACGTGATCACCCACTAAACCCTAATAATAACACTGTTAACCCTTAAGCAAAACAAAGGGCAGTCACAAAGTTCCCCAGCCAAGTACCCAACCTCGACAGCCCCAAACCTAAGCCACACACAACCTCCACCCTGTGGCCCCCTTCTCTTCCACTACCACATCCTCTTCTTCCTGATCTCCCCTCAAATTTGGGTTTCATAATTGGAAGGGTTTCAATTTTGATGGTCTTTCAATTGGGTTTCTGGAATTCATGCAACCAAAAAAATGAAAAAAAAAAAAAAAAAAAGGCTTGAATTAGTGATCTTATAATTTTATTGAATGAATTGAAGGGTCCTGAGGTAGTTTGCATTGTGAGGGAATTTCAAGGACGGGAAAAGTAGTGGTGGATCCATAATTCTCGGGTCATAGGGTCATAGTGTAAAAATATTGAATTTGTTTTAGAATAAACTGTTGAGGCATTTTTTTTAAGGACAAATGAGTCATTTTCTATCTAATTATTTAAAACTAATAATATAAATTAATAAATTTTGTTATAAAAATACATACAAACACGCAAATGGCGCGCTAGAAACCATTTGTCTAATACCCAAAAGTGAAGACGTTATCATCATGGCGCGCTTCCTGATTCCACAATATGAGACTTTATCTGTCTCTTCTTGATACTCAAGTTTGTAAGACCTCCACCAGTTCAACAAAGTCTCGATTTTTCTTTTTTAGTGCTTCTATATGTCGGTTTGATTGCTTGAGTTGCCCATGCAATTCAACAACTTCGGCCTTCAAGAATGCGACTAGAGCAGTCAATGAAGCACACTCTTGGTTTCTCGCTAGCAGACGTAATCCTACATTTGCTACCGAAGCAACATAGTGAGCTTTAAAAAAATTGGTCTCTTTCGTTGCAATCTTGTCAAACTTCCTTGCCATTACCAAGTTTGCAATGGTGTAAGCATGTTGATAGTTGTTGGGATTTCATTGTGGATATTTGCAGCTTGCACAAAAGTAGAACCGGTGTGAAAATTGAAGTGTGGAAACACAACATTTTCACGTGTTGTTTCCTAGTTTGAAGAAAGAGCAAGGGATAAATTTAAATCTATTGAGGCTCCAGGAATCGAAGGGAACTCCATTTTGATTAATTTCTCTCTACTTTGCTTTTGTTTTCAGATTGAAAGACGTCCTGGTTTAAATAGTAATGAAAGAATCAGACATCATCTTGAATAACGAAAACATGTTAGGATCTCATTCCTTATTCTAGCACCCATGTTTCTTGCTTTCTATCTCGAGCTACACACCCATGTTTTCTGCATTTCCACATCAACCCACTTAATTATAAAATAGAAAGAAAAAAAAGAAAGAAGGGAAAGAAAGAAAATAAAAAATATATAACAATATCAATTTAAAAAAATGTAAATAAGAGTTTTACAATTATACAATTAGTCTATCAAAATTCTTATCAAATATGAGCAAAATCCATGTCAATTACATAATTAATCTAACTAAAATTAATACAAATTAATCTAACCAAAAGTACCTGTGATTTGGACGTCACGACTTAAAAATAGATGTGATTACAAGTTTGGGATAATTTTCGATGAATTTTTCAGAGCACATACGACTTTTAATGAATTTACAATGTTAGTCCAATTAAAAATTGAAATGTGTGCCTTGTTAATACATTATTTCGAAAATGAATTAAAAAAACTTCCCTGACACAGGGATGCTAGAGTAAGCAATCCTCTTCCAATGATCTCTCGACAACTGTACCCATTAAAATTGAAAAATAAAATAAATGAAGACTTTGGAAAAGACGAAAGAGAGAGAAACTTAAAAAAAAAAAGTCAAAATGAACAAAATTGCCTTTATTTATTTTTCGATTTCCTAAGGAATCCTGTACATTTGTATGTTTTTAGTTTGAAAGTTGAGAAATTTTTCTGTCTTGTGGAATTTTATTTTAGGACTAAAACCTAAATTTATTTAAAATAAAATATAGTTGCCTCTGCTCCTCATCCTATGCAACCCAGCAACTGAAATCCCTTTTCTCTCGTATCTCCCTCTCGTTCTCTCTTTTTGCACCGCCCCTCTCCCTCTCCCACAGTGCAACCCAAACCCCCTATCTCTCTGTTTTGACTTACTCTCCTCTCTCCCTATCTGTTACTCTCCTCTCTCCCTATCTGTCTCTCACTTTGCATCAGCCACATCGGAGGCCGCCAAGAAGAGATAGAAAGAGAGGGAGAGATTGGCCTCGAAATTTGATGTCAGTCACCTCAAGTTCGGAGTTTGGCAAGCTCACCGCCGTTGCCACTGTTGTTGGCGTGAAGAGAAAGAACGGGAGGGAGAGATGAGGCAGATCCGCTCCCGTTTAGACTAAATATCTCTAGTTTCAAGGCTTAAGTAAACAAATTTATTTCTGATTGGATAATCGAAGGATTTAAATCGCGAGAACCACTTCTCCAAACGCAGAAAGCGATCTCCAAATCCCGCCGAAGACGAAAGCAAAATGCACGGACGACCTCGCAAAGCCGCGAAGCCAGAGGATGAAGCTGCTTCCTCCGCCCAAGCCCAAGAGCTTCGCGCTCTCCAGTCTCAGTTGCTCTCCAACCACCACAACAAGATTTACACAGACGAAGCTCAGCAATTGAGCGCCAAGCTCGTCCAGCAGAACCCCGAGTCCTACACGGCTTGGAACTACAGGAAACTCGTCGTCCAGCACAACCTCGCGCAGTCCGAGTCCGATCCTGACTCGCTCAAGTCCATTCTCGACCAAGAACTCGGACTTGTATGTATTTGAATTCAAATTTGCTTTTGTTTGTTGAGATGAAATTCAAATTAGTTGAAATGCTGAAATTGTCGAGTTTTGTGTTTGTGTAGGTAGAAAGCGCGTTGAAACAGAATTTCAAATCCTACGGAGCTTGGCATCATCGAAAATGGGTGCTGAGCAAGGGCCATTCGGTTTTAGACCGCGAATTGAAGCTTCTCAAAAGGTTCCAGCAGTTGGATCCCCGGAATTTTAATGCTTGGAATTACCGCCGGTAAGATTTAGTTGCAACTCCTGCTTGAGGAATGAGGAGCCCTCAATTTCAAATTTGTGTTGAATGATATCAATTTACTCATTAGTTTGTTTGTTTTATGAATTTTTTTACCTTCCAGATTTGTAGCTGCGTTATTGAATAGATCAGAGGAGGAAGAATTGGATTACACTAGGGAAATGATAGAACACAATTTCAGCAATTATTCGGCATGGCATAATCGGAGGTATGGCAGTATTTGATTTTAGTCATGAGCATTCTGGTACTCATTTATCAATTATGAATTTAATTGGATTGGAATGTATGATTGAATACGTTGTCATGAAACATGTGTTTTATTTATTTTTTATATACCGCAGCCAATTATATCAGTAGATTCATGTGCAGACATTTAACTCACATTCCTTTTTGGTTAGTTTTGGATGCTACTTGTTTTTTGTAGTTAGTGTATATTAACATACATGCATGTTGCATTGTCCCAAACCACACATGCAGATGTTAAATTACCAGTTCTTGAGCCTCGTTGGATCTGAGTAAACACTGTAACTGGTTAAAGAAAAGAAAATGTGGAAGGGAGTCATTTTATTAGACCGTGGACTGAAAATTGAAACAAATAATCAAATTTTTGTGAACTATCTCTTACAGCTAACTTTCTATTCAAATTTATTTAAGTTTAAAAGAAAATTCAGCCTTTTAGTAACATCTCTCACCTATGTTTAGAACAATGTATTACTTGTCCCTCCTTGGTTATTTCCAAGAACTTGGAGTGAATGTATAGATAAGAAAAATAAAATTTTGGCGGTTCTGAGTGCAATTTGACATATTGTTGTAACAAATTGCCTTTTTTATTCTACATTTGTAAATAAAAACTACTTTCTTTCCTCTGCTTACTTACAAGCCAAAGGAATGTAGTTTCTTCAAATGTTGAACTGAATATGGCCCTTCTGCTATATTGTACTGTATTGACTTGGTTCCTAGTTTGTTGGTTATACTACTTGCACTAGTAATCTCCAGGCAAAATCAAATTGGAAAATAGAATTGTGTAATTGCATCAAACAGATATAATAAAAAGATAAAATTGATTTATATTTTCCTTAGGATTCCTTGCCATTTTTCTTGGCTTGCACTTTTATGTACTCACTGGTTAGGTTACTAAACAGTTACAACATCCAGAAAAAAGATCAATTTCTGATTGTATGTTTTACCTCATGAAGCATGTTTATTATTCATTGAATTTATTGATCAAATTGCAGTGTACTCCTGTGTAATTTGATGAAGAAAAAATCCCAAGGGTTTTTCCCAAAAAAGAAGGTTCTGAATGATGAGTATGAGCATGTACACGATGCTATTTTTACGGATCCAGATGATCAAAGTGGTTGGTTTTATTATCTTTGGCTTCTTGATCAAATGGTGAAAACAGATGCTCCTCTTCTTGTTGCTTCTTGGCCTGCCCATGAATCTGATGTCATTTTGTCGAGAAATAGGCGCTCAGATGACTCTTCTTTTTCTCCGTTTGATAGTTTTCAGTCTGATTCAGGAACAGTTCCACTGATTCTTTATTTCAATCAAGCTGTTGAAGGTGTAAATTCATCCACTATAACCATTGAATCTTTGTTTTGCACAAAAGATCTTAATTGGAAACCACTTTTACAAAATAACTCCCAGCTGTCCCAAGTTTGGGTTACACATATTAAATTTCCAGATGTAAAGCCCCATTCTTCAGAAGCTTATCAGCTGAAAATTAGTGTTGGGCAGTCTCAGGGCATCATCTCTGCTAGTGGCATTCACTATAGCCATCCTACACAGCTTGCTTTCAAAGTGTGTTTACGCCCTATTGAAACTGAACCAGCTACAAAGCAGGGTGGGCAGAGAATTTTGTGGAGAGATGAAAACTTTCATATGTACCAACCACAATCTCAGGAGCCAGATGAAGTAGTTCCTATTGATCAATTAATTATTAATGATCATGAGCCGACAGCGTCAAATTGGCATGCAGAGACTATTGCTAATGAAATAGCTCTCTTCCGGGAATTGTCAGAGCTTAACTGGTTGGCTGGTTACATTTCATGTGCAGCTTTAACGTCTGAATTTCCCATTTTGGTATTATTTCTTATCTCTATAAGTAAAACACTTTTTTTTTTTGCAGTAAAATTGGAAAGCTTACACTAGCAAGGTTATTAACAGCGCATGATGTTATATTGTCTCCACGTACAAGCAAAATGGCCCATTCTGAAGAAGTTCTTGGACTCTATATTGACTTAATAAAGTTGGACCCGTTACATTCTCAGTATTACAAAGATGAGCACAGCTTAGTTTTGCTGCAGAAGGTAATTATCATTTCTCCTAATGTAGTAAGTCATGGTCCATTCTTATTTGTTCATAATGCTGCTACGTGTGCATCTGGATTTATATTCACATTCTGTGATTGTGTCAGTGGCTGAAGGTCCTGAACTATTTGTTGGATTGCACTGACTCATAATTTTGCAATTAAATAATCTATTTCTGCAATGGAAAAGTGTATATATATGTACTTTATATGGTGATGCTGCATGCGTCTGGATTCCCATCATTGCTGGCTTATAGAATACATGCTACACTTATATCTGACATTTTGATTTCTGAAGTGAAAAATATTTAATATATTTGTAAGATTATGTTTCTGTTTGTTTCAATTGGTCTTTTGGGAGAACTGGTCCAATGTAATGTTGGTATTTGTTTAGAGAAACCTCATTTGAATTTTGGTAGGCAACTATTTTTGTGTTTTAGTGACATTTAAGATTTATTAACAAGTGAGAACTTATTAGAACTTCCATTTACTTTAGTTTTCGCATTTTGAAGTTTCATAGTTTGTTATATGTTGCAGGTAACTCCCAATAGGGAGTCTCTGTTAAACCACTGCTTTAGCTATAAAAACTTGGCTTCTTCAAGCATTGGTAATGATATATGTCTACGACTAAGCAAATTATCCTTATCACGAATGGGTTCAATTGAGAAATTACTGTGGGTCCAAATGCTAGACCTCAGCCACAATGAACTTCGTTCAATTGAAGGTATGCTTCTTTTGCTCATGTTGTGCATCTTGTACGCCTTTGTGGTGCATCTTGCATGGTTATCTAAGGCTTTGTCTGTACGTTATGCATCTTAGTAGCCAATAAGATGTATTTGATTGTTTTCTGTTGAGAGGAATGTCTTATACTTGGGCCTTTGGACAGGATTGGAGGCCATGCAGCTTCTGTCTTGCTTAAATCTGAGTAACAACAAGCTTGGTAGTTTAACTGCTCTGGGGCCGTTGAGACTGTTGAAGTCACTAGAAGTGTTGGATATCTCATACAATGAGATAGGCTCACACACTATTGATACGACAAGGTATCTATGTTCTACTCCTCTTTCCCATACAGAAGAAACTAGTTGGAACAGTGACGAAATTGTGACTGGGGGTGCCAGTGTGAAAGATAATTGGGAAGCTGTTCTGATATTTAAAAGCATGAGCTTGACACAATTAGCCATTGTGGGAAATGCAATTTCTGGTGAAAACTTCAAGTCGCTTTTGGTCAAGTTAGTTCCTACACTTGAGTGGCTGGATGGTGATAAATTGCATTGACCTTCAATTCTTCGTCTATTTTACAGTTAGCAAAAACACTATACTTTGTTCAATACAGTGGTCCTATACATGTTACATGTTCTAGTCTTTCCCCTGTTATGTTTAAGTTGTCGGTACAGATTTGACTATAGAATCGAACAGTTCAAGTGCAAGCTTCCCGTTAAATTTTTGTTCTAGTGAAAATGGAGTTTTGTGTTTTCATGAATATGGGCCGCGTGGAATGGTGTTTCCTTTGCATTGACGGTAAAGGCTAGAGTAACACGGAAAAAAAGGGGCAGTGGTGTTGGCAAATTTTGATTGAAATTGTTAGGTAATTACAGAGTGGTGACCAAAATTTCTAAAATTATTATCTTTATTACAACGAGAGGTTGGACGTGGAAGAAACTGATCGAGTAACCGCTACCCAGAATAGCATCAATGTAGAATAAGGTGGTGGCTGCACAGGGGATAAATGTCGGAACTGTAGAAACCTTGCAATGAAGAAATGGAGGAATTTAACTGTCAGAGTGATGGAGCCATCTTGTATCCTTCTAGCCACGGTGCCTTGTAATTGAACTGCACAGCCAGATTACAGTGTTTGTTAGGAGCACATAATGTTTTTATCTAAAATCAAAAGGTGAAATGCTTCTTGCATAATCAACTCTTAATGTATTTCTGTTTCTTCTGTAGGTTTACATTAACAAATGTTTTCTTCATACCGTCAAGGTACGTATTTCAGCCAACAAAAGGTATGAGATAGATTTTGAGCTCACCAAAACTCTCTGTAACAGGGGCTCTATTAAGTTGCTCCTCCAAATTCATTTGAGACCCATGCAAGCAAGAGCTGAAAATAACACCTGCAAACAGTCCTAGTAGGGCATAGGGACAAATATGCTTGTTCATTTTGTTTGATTTTGACACCATTGACGCCACTCTCTCTCTCTCTCTCTCTCTCTCTCTCTCTCAACTGAAATGCAATGAGAAGTGCCTGCTTTTCAATGAGCTCAGAGGCACTCCTTTATACAAGAAGATACTTGGAAGCTCTGGCTTCCAACGGACTTCTTTTTGATTTATTAAAGATTAGAAGCTTCATTGGTCAAAGCCACTTGGTCCATCCTTGATTAGGGATTGCAAATTATGTACATATAAATATTCCCTAACTAACTTGCTATTAAAATAAATCAATTAACAATGCTAAAAGCCTTGCACATCAATATTAAGCGGTGATTTAAATAAAATTAATAAGAGCATCTCCAAGGGAGATGTCAAATACCAAACATCAAATTTAAATTTGATGGCTGATGTGGCTATTTGACATCTTACACAGCTTTACACTCCACCCGATATGTCAAATTAAATTATTATTTTATTACATTTTAGTGTTGATTTATTTTTAATTAAAAAGAAAAGAAAAAATAATAATAAAATATTCATTTGACATCTTACTTTTGAGATGTCAAAAATAACATCTCAACCTCCAGCCTTCATTCCACATCAGCTTTGACACATCGGTTGGAGTGATGTGAGATGTTATTTCTAGCTGTTAAAGGTCTATGTGGCACTTTTGACACATCGGTTGGAGATGCTCTAATAAGCAAATTGTTCTTGAGGAGCACGGTGTCAACCCATAATTTAATATATATATATATACACACACACATAAAACAATCAGAAATCTGTTTTTTAGAGAAGACGCATGACAAGGTCAATTCCCACATTTTTGTTCTCTTTGTGACTCAAACCGGGAGGCCTCAACCCATATTTCCTTTGTTAAGCCTACAATTAATTCAGGCCTTTACATTTGTTTCTAATTTATTTAATAATTTTAATCTATTTAAAAACAAAATAAATTCTAGTTAATACATTCTCTAATGAAGTGGAGGATAATTTGTCATCTGTTATGTGTTTTCTGTTTTAGATTTATTAACATAAATGAAAAAGTATATAAATAAAAAAAGGGAAAATGTGTGAAAGGGTAAGGATGTTGAGAGTATTGTCTAACTTTGAACTGTTAAAGGACCTAGCATGAGATTATATGGAGTTGAGCTACTTTCCTGATTTGTAATTAATTTTGGGATGGAACCTCAACATCCTTCATAGTATTAGAGCATATATTCACGTGTTGGACCCAACAACCATACGTACTCCCATGTCTTAGGCTTGAAAGTTCTTCACATGTGTAGGGGCGTGTTGACAATATGGGCTCAACTTCCTTTGGAGGGTAACTAGCCAACTTTAGAATGTGGGTTTCTTTTAATGTTTTTATTTATTTAATACTAAGTTTCATACCCTTTTACCCTCGTGACATTAAATAGTGGTGCCAAGGTTTGGAAGGTAGGTACCACGGGGGTTCAAACCTAGACTATTGGTCTATAGGCCAATGCAATTTTCCAATGAGAACTTTTAAAATTTTAATAAATCTTTTTTAGGTTTTTCACTGGTTCACCATTTAAGGTATATATTGTGCGCTTGTTGTTGCTGGTGAACTCTTTTATATTTGGATTAATCTCTTGTGGTTACTGCGCTTCCATATTTGTATTAACCTTATATAATTATTTGTATTTATATTGGTCCTTGTGACTTACGAACTTTCGGCCTGAATTATGAATTCAAAATTATCAAAGAAATCACTTTACACTTTTTTTTTTTTTGGTCTGAACCACGAGGTGGTCCTGGATGGGCTCCAACTATGGATGGCACCTTTAAGCCTTAACCACAACCCAGACTAATCCCCGTTCACACCGGGTCGGCCCGTAAGGAGTAAAGTGCTGGCCAAAGTGGTGACTCCATACGAGAGCAGGGATCGAACCCCTGACCTCTCTTAAGGAATGAGAGTGCCGAACCACTCACACCATCCACCTTGGTTAATCACTTTACACTTTTGGCCAGTACAGAGAGACTGCCTAGAAACAAATACTAAATAATTCAAGGGAAAAAGGCATTATTAGACCAAATAACATTAATGTGATTTTGACCCCAAAATGGCATAATCATCTCATCACCACCACTAACCCCCACCCCCATATGCTGATCTTGTGGGTTTTTCATGCCCATGAACTATGGATGCCTCTGCATCGTCTCTATACTGTTAGTTTCGAAAGCCTGCCTCTCCATTCAATGATCTGTTGTTGCAGGCACTAGCAGTCCTGTTGGTTATACTTGGACTTGTTTGTTCTCCTTCTCCTCATTAAGAATCTTAATTTTGATGTGAATCTCCTTCAAGCTCTGGTCAATCAGCCAACCCAAATCATTCAAAGAAACCATGTTCAAACTGTGGAGGGACTTACCAATCAGACTATGGAATAGCACCCTCGTCATCTCCTTCCTTTGTTTCTTCAATTGTTCATTGGCTTTCTCAATCATCTGCCTCAGAAAACTTTCTTGGCTCACCATCTTTTTGCTTTGTTCCATCTCTAGCATGGTCTTAATTTTTTAAGATCGCATTGCAATTGGAGAGAGGATGGCCAAATCTCATGTAGGCTATAGATTATGGCACGTGCTGGAACATCAGAAAGGTTGTTGAGTTCACTCACTTTCTTCATTAGATCCTACTTCATTTTCTTGAATGTTGTTTCTCTACTCAAGTAATTACTGATGTAGGTTAGTTTCACCTTCTTTCTAGACATGGCTCTCAGAGAAAATGAAATAAAAAATGCAAACTAGTTAGAAGATGATGCATTTGTGAGTTTTCTTAAGAGGAGAGCCTACGCTATATATAAAGTAGGAATAGGGCAACCTAATGAATTCTTGGAGATTACGTTTTGAATGAGAATTAAATGCGGGGATATGTTTTGCAATTTTATTTTTTAATACAAACGGATATTACGGGAGGGGGGAATGAACATTCCACTCCAAATACGGGAGATTTGGTATTTTATCATAACGGGAATAGGGCAAAAAGCTAAACAGGAATGGGGATGAATATGGCATACACACCTCCGATTCGACCCATTACATACCTTTTCTAAAGAATGAACTTATAAATGTACAGATGCATCTGCTATTGAATTGATTAATTTTAGGCATGTTTGGATAAGGGATGATTTGGGGTGTGGATTTGGAATTCAGTCCCTAGATCCAAATTCATTTGTTTGGGTCTGCATATTGGTCCATGCAAATTCAGTCATTGGTTAATGCAAAAATTAAGAATTGAAATTATTAATTAAATTAAAAGAAAAATCAGATAATGAATTCTATTTTTATGGAACACAACTACCCATTATATTTTTTAATTATAAAATATATTTTTTATTTTTTATTTTTTATTTTTTTTAAAAAAAGCCTCTAGCAAGTGTAGAAGTGCGTATAGAGAGGCTAGTTAATATTGAATGTAGACATTTCTTTTTAATTTGTTTTATTATTTTAATCTATTTAATATTCATGACGTTTGAGTTTAGGAAATTCTCGAACAAGTAGAAGATAATTTGTTTTCTGTTAATTGTTAAACGAAATGATATATATTATAGTAAAATGGGTAAAGGTGTGTTTTGTCATAAGTTTCTTATTTGATTAAAAAAAAATTGATAAATTTCTTATCCCTTTTTTTTTGGCCAAATTTAGGAATGAGGAGAGGGAAAACTCACACACATTGGCGGACTCACAGAGGCGCAAGGGGGTGCAACTGCACCTCCCCTCGCCGGAAAAAGCTTTGGTAGCTCTAGAAGTTGCCCCTCTGCAGATGCCTACTAACTGTTTGTAAAAATACATCAAAGAGGCTAACTTCTTTACTTTGGTGCGCAGCCCACACTGCACGTTTATATATATACAGAGAGCTTTCATTGAGGGATCCCTCAAATAAGCTTATTTGAGAGACACCCCTTGTAGGGCCCACTCCGGATTATATTTCATTAATCCAAACCGTCTATTTTGTAGATACTTATTCGAAGATCATCTCTATAAAAAATCAATTGAATCCGATATAATTTGACCATTCAATTAAGTTATTGGAATTTTAATACTTTCTTGAAGCACTGTGTTCATTGATTTTGTAGGACACAATTGGATGTCGAAACGGTTTCCGATTTGTCTAATTTTTTGTAAGGATGATCTATGAATAAAGACCTAAAAAATAAATGTTTGGATCATTGGAAAAAAAATTATAAGGTACCCTAAAGGGCTTTATTTGAGGGATTCCTCAATAGAAGGGGATATATATATATTTATTTAAAGAATCCCAGCCAAAACAA